AATAAGGAACCCCCAGAATAGTGTTGGTAATCATTTAGGCCCCTATATTAAGCCGCAAGCCACTCAGGAGCCCTTCTGAATCCTAATATAGTTCCAAGAATCTTCTTGAACTAGGAACGAACTGGCGACTGCAGAGTCCGGCGTTTGCAAAGCCAGGCGCACTAGATCCGAGAAGCGGCAAGAGCTTTCAGTTAATCTCGACACGTGACGAAGTTGTGTTTCCGACACGTACAACTCCCCTGCCGCTATAGAGGCCCTTATCACTTGCTTGTGAGTCCTTATTGCATGCCCGTCCAGCCCTTTATCGTCCGAACTCCCAAAACCAACTAACTATGTCTATGTCCCACGTTGGTCACCTTAATGGCTGAAAACCCCCTAAACCCTAAACCTTAAACCCCAAATGGCTGAAAGTCGGGGCGCCTCTGGCGAATCGGGTGTTTCGTCGAACCTCCGTGCATCCCTTCGCAGTGCGGGTTCCTCCTGGCCCCCAAAGCCCACAACAAAAAGTAGGGGCCTTAATAATTAGAATAGGATTATGGGGCGTCCTTATTATAACTATAGTATAACAGACCCCCAAACCTTATTCTAACTTTTAAGACCACTACATTAAACAAACCTAAAACACCGGACGCACCATCCTAAAGTCCAAACCGTACAACAACCCTCTGTCTACAAGCCTAGATTGTGTGCCGGAGTTGTTGTCGTCGGTGTTGGTCTTTAGAAGCAGTGTGGTAGTCCCAGTCGGAGTGGTAGCCGTAGTCGTAGTCACCAGTGCAGGCGGATGCCAAGGTTGTCGCATCGGCGCAGGTGTGGTCCCGGTTGTAGTCGTGGCCGCAGCCAGAGGCGTCGACACAGCCGCAGTCGTAGTCGCAGTGCTAGTCGCAGCAGTCATCGTCGTAATCGTCGTCCTCACCGTCATTGTAGGCAGTGGTAGAGCCATTGGCAGTGGTAGTGTTCGCGGTTACCGGTATTCCGTGGTACATCTGTGCATCTTTGCCATTCTTTCCATGTATATAACCAGTACTTACTCGAATTATTGCAAAGCATGTATCCTCCTCATCCCAATCATCGAGGAGGAGACGCCTCCGCACTGTCCTCAAGAGTTTAAGGCATCATGGCTCGGGCTCAGGATCTTCAGTTTAAGATTTGTGAAGCGAACTCTGTAGGTTTAGGGCCGTATAGGGGCTTAGGCTTACAGGGCCTTAGGCCTTAGTCAACGGGTGCCGAAAGCCTGGCACCTTTGAGGATCAGTCGACTTACTGTAGCGGCCTTAATAATTGGAATAGGGTTTTGGGGGGTTCCTTATCATGATTATAGCATAGTGTACCCCCAAACCCTATTCTAATTATTAAGGCCCCTCTATTAGGATACTTCGCGACATCCCGGTTTCTGGGCCTTGGCTCAAACAGGCTGCCTGATCGAGGGTTAGGGCTTGGGGGTTGCAGGGTTCAGGATTTTTAGTAGCTAGCTGGGGCTTATAGGGTTTAGAGTATCGAACCATGCCGCCTAAGCCATTCCTTGCACCCTCCACACGGAGTCTTTGTAGCCACAAGGTGCCATTGTCAGCCCCCCTAGTTCCAAGGCCCAACCCAGAACCATCCATCGAGGTGATGTGGAGTTCAGATGCGTAATGTAGGGGCCTTAATCGTTGGAATAGGGTTTTGTGGGTTCCCTATCATACTTATCGTATAACATACCCCCGAATCCTATTCAGTATTATGAAGGCCCATATAGCAAACACACCTTCGTGTCTTTCTGCGCACTTGAAACCAACAAGCCTCCATCCATGGGCCATGCGCCTTCCCGCCTTGCCCGGAGTCTTCCCGACTAATGTGGGGGGCCCTAATAATTTCAATAGGGTCTTGGGCTCCCTTATAGTATAGTTATAATGAGGAACCCCCACATTCGTATTGGTAATTATTAAGGGCACTATCGTAGGCCATTCCCCGTGAATGCCGCGGATCCTCCAGTACGAAACAGTTTTTTGAATCCTAAATTCCGAACAAACCCTAAACCCTAAACCCTAAACCCCTAAACCCCTAAACCCTAAAACCCTAAACCCCTAACCCCTAAACCCCTAAACCCCTAAACCCTGCAACCCTGAAACCCTAAACCCCTGAACCCTGAAACCCTGAAAACAACCCAGAGAGGCTTGTGCCGGCGAGTTTCCGAAAGGGGTTTCCTTCGAAGACGATGGCGCCCAAACGTGGCAGGGCCTCCTCGCGCTGCCTGCGGCCGAAGAGAGAAGGTACCCGGTTTAGGGTTTAGGGTTT